TGTTTCAGGCTACTTTCACTTAGTATTAAAAAATTCGCCGCCCACCCAAAAAACATCATGACAACTTGAAGAGTTCAGAATGTACATTATTTAGGCTATTCTACATCCTTCGGCAGAGCCAAGTTTTACATGTAAACAATGAGTTTTTACTGAGATATAGAAATTTTATTGCTTATTTCCTAAGGAATCGCCTGATATCCAGCATTTCGTGAGGAACGAAGGATAAAATTTCTATATCTCAGTAAAAACTCATTGTTTACATGTAAGAACACGGATAATTTGGTATGTTCTACATACTGACCGTGTTAGAACCGATTCGTTTGAAAGTTTGCGGTAAATCTTGGGAAGCAGATATTTCAGAGATCCATCCAAGAAAATTCCTCATCATCAACCATATTCGAAAGAAAAATTGACATGGAGGGACGCTTTGAGTGCTTCCAGTGTGACTTTTTCTGTGAAAACAAACATGGCCGTTAACCCAAGTTCGATTCATTTGTACAATTCGCACATATCAAACGATGCTGCACTAAAGTCGTTATACACGAACCGACCAATTGAGTGACACTGGGTAGAAGACATTCTTTGCTAGCTACCCATAGAGAATACTTGTATCTCTACTTTTCAAGTATAAATCTAGTTTTCCAAAGATCTCACATAAATTGTCTAAAATAAAAGAGATTTTGGTGCTTATTTAGGAAAAGATGCACTAGGCTCTTGGCTATCAAATACCGAAAATCGCAGCTTTTATCTTTTTTGGATTCAAAAAGCCTTCAGAAAATAAGCAGAAGTGTTACTTTTTTTTGCCGATAGTACAGAGCCGTATTGTTGTTTGGGTGAAATGAAACGAGCGAGCCAAAGCTCAAAGTACTTTCGCTAATATTGTTATCATTGTGGCATTAATGTGAATCTTAAAGGTGTTGTTGTTGTAGTTCCTGTTGTGGTTATTGTGGGTGACACAAGACGAACTATTTTCATTGATGTTGTTATTGGTATCGGTAAAATGGCATTTTGTTGCTTAAGCTAAAATTAGTCAAATTAAAACGCAGATAAAAGATTCCGGTGAAAGAAACACCCACAATTATTAATACCGAAAGCTAAGTTGACAGGTTATTTACTGCATACTCAAGTATTGCTTGTAAATTTTTAAATCGGTATTATTCAGAGATATTTATCACGAGTATTGAGAACCGCATCGTGTCAAAACTTACACTTTGATAAGTTTGATGTATGGGTAAGATTAACGGTGTTGTGGTTATTTTGTTGGTGGTGCATGTGTTTGTGATTGTACTCAATGGTAAATCCTTTGAAGAAATACAAGAGTTTGTGCAAATGTTAACATAAAACTGAGTTACTTACTTTAGTTATCTTTTCATCAGGCGTTATCTTGGGTATACTTGATTTTCTTTTGCGGACAGGACGTGGAGCTTTTATTGTTTCATCCTATAATTAAGGTATATAAATGACTAAGAAGATTTGTTGGTGTATTTACTTTATTTTGTTTGTCCATTGTCGTTGGAGTTTTCCTTCCTGGAACTCCAATCCCCGCAGCTCTTCTTCGATTTTTGCGCAATTGTCCAGACTTTACCGCTGTTTTTGGATTCCTAATTGGCATTCTTAATTTTTTCATTACTGCTATGATATGATGACAATATACTTTTTTATTATGATTTGGACATGTGCAAGTAAATATTGGAAATTTTTTTAAATCGACAATATACACATTTTGATTGGATGAACCCGATTCAACAACAAATGTTCCTAATTAATTAGAACAGCAAACTTATTTAACTGATCATGGGAGGACGTCATACTTCAACAGTTTCATAATCTGTATGATTCTCTAATGGTACGACTACATGTTTTACATAGCGAATAGTATGAATAGTTTCTTACAGAGCGGTACCAGATTTTCTAATGTACCTGATGCGTCATGGAATGAAACCGCCTTCTTTAAAATCAATAAATTGGCTTTTTCGTCTGCTGACATTGTCACACCTCGTTGTATCTTTGATGGTACATCACTTGAAATTGATTCACTTGTTAAACTAATTGAAACACTTGACATTGTACTGTTATCATTGTTATTCTCATTATTTT